CCGCTCTCGCTCGCACGCCGTGACGTCACCCGATTCCCGGAATCCTGCGGCCACGAGATGGCTCATTACGGTAGGACATTCCCGCCAGGGAAATTGTAAGCCGCCGGCCAAAAGGTAGATTTGATAAACTATTTATGTTTATTACAAATCTAAGGCAAGATATAAAATTGAATAAAACAAGAACATGTAAAAAGTAACATTAATAAAATGTCTATTAACGATGCATTTAGAATAAATTGTCTTGTAGTTAAGTGAAAAAATATATACTTTTCCGTTTCATGTTTCATGACTGTCATATTTATCCCTTAACCTTAAACTGAAGCATCGGATATTTTTATTCCCGTCAAATCATATAGATACACGCAATATGAATGGAATATATAACACTTCATTTATGCTAATAATACTCAGAGTTCATGCTTTATCGGTAACGTTGGGATTGACACTAAAATGGTAACAGGGTTACGTTGCCCTATGAACACCTATGAACGTGGGACAGAAAAAAGCATTGGATGATAGGTGTATTCTATACCTAGTCGGTGGTTATATCGTATACAGTGAAGGAATAATTAGAAACAATGAAGAATAATGAATAAATTAATGATTATAAATTATAATCTACATGTTACCTAGCAAATCATTATTTTAGAATTTCTTGTTTTTTCTACTGATTTTTACATACACGAATAGTAATGTAATTCATCGTAAAATCATATTGAATACGTTTTTCTGTTTAAAGATCAAGGATTTACGATCGCAGTGAGCAAATTCACTCAAGATAAGAAAATCGCAATCCCGATCGTGAATGAAGTTAAATCACGACCGTGATCGTGAATCTGCGATCACTGTGATAAATCACCGTTAGTGATTTTGCACGCCATCTCTAATACGTATACATTATAAAACGTTAGTATTATAGCCTTAAGAAACTATATTTCACAATTGATTAATGAAAGTCACAATATAAGCATTCGTTATATTGAAAAGCACGTACAGTACTGTATATTAATACTATGTATTTGTTAAATCACTGTATTGATTGTATAGACACACATGACTTTGTTTTTTGTAATATGATAATTAATTAATTTAGTACCTTTGATTCCCTAAAGGACACGGTTACTAAAAATTGGGAGTTGTCCAATTTATGTGTCCATTATTGCACATAACTGTGCAACATCTACGAAGCGCGTGATCGTCGCATTGCAGAGCCATCTGCACCCGTACCTGTGTGGAGCTTCTGTTCGAGAAGAGGAGAAGATCCATCCGTTCATTCTAACGTGTATAGTTAGTCAAAATGAACGTAGTGGCAAAGTCGACGAACTTGTCCCCGTTTTTAAAAACGGCGACAACTGTTGTTTCAAATGGGATCCGACCAGCAGCCGCTAGTGGTACTGTTTTAAAACCTAAAATTGTGGTAAAGCCTGTCGTCAACCGAATGGTCAATGAGAGTATATCTGAAAGCCTTTTATGCAGATCTTTGCGCGTAAGCTCAGGAATTACAGGTTTGAAGTCTTTCTTTCAATACGATTTTATCTATTTTCATATTTTCTTTAGTAAACTACAATGTTCATACATTTCGATTATATAATCGTATCATGTAGACAATATATGATTTGCAGACCTCGGCATTATCAGTCGAGTTACTGTCCATTGAATCTATTGTGAACTTAACAACATTACAGTTATATTGTTTCTTTCTTCCACTGTTGATTTATTACAGAAGACATTATAAGACTGTTTGGCTGACGAGCATTCCTTAATTGTTTAAAAGATACTATTCTCACAAGATTATATGATTTTAGCGGGTACGCAAACAATGCAGAAGCGATTAGCTCATTCTGATGTACAGTGGCCAGATTATTCAGCATATCGTCCTGACTCTACACAAGATCCAACATGCAAGAGCAAAGAAAGTGCACCAAATCGAAAAGTAACTGCGTATGTTGTGAGTGCAGGTAAATAAATATTGCTTAGCTTTCTTGTACATGACCTTCCAAATGATAGACATATGAATTTTTCTTTGTTGTATAGTTGCTGGTGTATATGGTACCTACGGAGCCAAATCGTTGGTACAATTCTTTGTAGGCACCTTAAGTGCTTCAGCAGATGTATTGGCTTTGGCTAAAATAGAAGTGAATCTTAGTTCTATTCCTGAAGGAAAAAGTGTTGTTTTCAAATGGCGTGGAAAGCCATTGTTTATTAGGCACAGGCAAGCATTTTATGTATTTCACATTTCACATATTATACTTACATGAAATAAATATCATATTTGTTTTGTGGTAATAGATCAGCAGCAGAGATTCAGAAGGAGGCAAGTGTTGACGTTTCAACTCTTAGAGATCCACAGGCTGATCTTGAACGTGTAAAGAAACCAGAATGGTTGATTGTTCTTGGTGTATGCACACACTTGGGATGTGTCCCGATTGCAAATTCTGGTGATTTCGGTGGTTACTATTGCCCTTGCCATGGATCTCACTATGATGCTAGCGGAAGAATTAGGAAAGGACCAGCCCCCCTAAATTTAGAAGTTCCAGAATACGTGTTTACTGACGAAAATATTGTAGTTGTTGGTTAATATGCTAATACTTGTAGTCAAATGGTAATTCTATTTATACCTAAATTTTATGTTTGAAGTTGTCAAGATATTGATGTATTATAAATACGGTGGAGCTGTATTTAATAAAAATAAAGCTTAACCGATATAGAAATGGATCGTCTAGTTTTCTCAGGCATGGAAAACAAAAACTCAGTGTACATACTGCATATCGTTGCGAAGATATTAATTTAAAATGTAAAATTTATGTAAATGAAGTTTAAATATACTTGCAATTTCAAACAAAAACAATGTCTACCTTTTTTTGTACCAAAACAGGTAGAGTATGTGTCTACTACTTTATCGCGGTATACAATTTACAATCTCTGGAAGTTATTTCATTTAGTAAAGAAATGTTAGTGATAGCATCAGAAATTTAATTGCCTGACTGAAAGGTTTCCTTGGAAGAAATGATTCATGACTGGCCCTCTCAGAAGCTCAACTGATAAGGTAACTACGCCCCTGCTTGTGGGCAGTTCAGTAGTGGCCACTTCGTACGGAAAGATATACGCAAGCAGTTTTTCGCAAAGAAAGCGGTTCTAATATACTATTAATTATGTGATTTAATGACATACACCGGTTACAAAAAGTTAAGCAACTTACAGCACAGACGAAGTATAAGAATAGACCTGTCATCCAATCATTTTTCGTGGGCGAATTATAAGATATAGACAGTAATTCAATAATGAACTTCATCCCACTCTATTTTTTTCATAAAGAAATTATTTTGTCTATTATTTAATCTGTACATATCTGTCAGATACTTCATAAACTTTAGCGCCATTGTTAAAATGGTGGGACGCATTTATCACAGATGGCGTTAGGGAAGCTTCGCAGATTTCAAAGCTATCAGCCTACCCGCGCCTACCGATCCACTAATTGCGAACCTCGTAAGATAATCGAATCAACCGATTTTAGCCAGTCGGAGCACAGACAAGATACAGAATAAACCTAACATCTTATAGGATTTCGTGTCACTTGTTCCGAAATACCGATTGTGCAAAAAATCAGAGATTTTCTGCTGCCCTCTATGTTATACATACATTCAATTAACCACGAAGCTATGTCCCGCCAGAGCTATTACATTTTTTTCGCGTACAAAAGTGTAATCACATAGTAACTAATTTTTATCTTAATTTCATCTTTGCCTTGGATTCGATATTTTTCCGACAATATCGAATTACTGTTCCCTTATCGAATTCGTTTCTACGATTGCTCCTTCTCGAATGAACACTTTTAAGATTGCAGTTGTTTCTGAAACTCCCTTCACGACATACCGTCACGCGATTTAATTAACTGGAATTGCGTGTACCAGTTCCTTTTCACGTTCCTTTGTGGTAAATTGCAATTGTCACCAAAATGTCGGTCTATTCGACGGACTCGTTGGAGGACACGAACGAAATCTCGTCGAGGAACCCGGATTCTCCGCGTAATGACAGTGACAGCTTTAATTTGCTGTCAGTCAAACAGTCAATCGACTTACTTCCGAACTCACCATTTTTCTTGAAAGCAACTGCTGCATTATTAACAGGGGAGCAAGGCAGGTGTAAAATTCACAATGCTTCGATCGAAGCAATTTCGACATTTGTTAAAGTTGATAATAATTAACGGTAATAATTTCTTCATTTGTAATTCTCTCGTTCAAGATAGTTGTTTCGAATGCACCACGTGCACTTTCACGATATGTTTGCAAAAGGAAAACAGTGGCGAATCATCGATCGAATTCGAGGCACTGAATTCCGCTTCCTTTTTTTCCGGGGAACGTTTCAGATGCCGGATCTAATGAAACCGCGCCAAGCACCGGCACCGACAAAGACACGAGGACAACAGGCAGCAGGAAATGCGAACGGAGGATTCGCAGACACGGCTATGCAACGACGCCCAGCCTTCTCCAGGAACAGGAAACGAGACGTCATGGATCGACTTGACAGGAATGTAAGGCTACGCCTTACTAATACTATAACAATTTCTTAGAAACCAGTTGAAAAAGTAGCAACCGAAAGTCAGAAATTCAGTACTACTGAAGGATTTACGTACTACTCTAAAGCGATGATCTCCTTAAGACTAAAATATAACACAATAAAGTATCTGCAAGAAGTACGAACGAAAAAGAATCTTATCCTCGACATATGACACTTCGATTTCCATCAGAAACAGAAGTCTAAGAGCACCAATTGCAATCCCGTTAAATACAACGAATACACGAGTCTTCAACCGACGCAAACGCATCCCTCTCTCGTCTCTTCCAGGACGTAAGCAGCTTAAAGCACGAGGAAGGAAGCGTCAACAAGAGGGTGGAGCCAGGCTGTCCGAAACGTTCGTCGAGAACGTTCCCGGCGAAACGAAGTTGCCGTCTTAAAGAACCCCCGATGCCTACGAAGCCGGATAAAAAGCTGGGCAACGTGCTACCACCGAGGATCCAACCGGCGAGGAAGCCGTGCTCCTATTTGGAGCTTTATCGTCGGCGATTCAGTTAGTCTGAAACGAGATGACGTTCCTCTCTAGTTTTTGGTTCGTGACCGACGCGAGTCTCGCGGACGGACCAGGCTGGGTGGGTGGG